AATTAACGCAACCTTGTCTTAACGATATATCCTTTTCGTGACATCCTCCTGCCTCTGGTTCACTAACCCCATGGGTGTACGGATTAATTAGATACGAAGAAAGTTCTGACTAGAAATCCTCCGCTGAAAAAAAGCAGGATGATCAGAATCATATGGATCAGTTGTTCCATCAGGACAGAGTAGAAAAGATATGACTACGAGCGCATAAAAACGCCTTTTATTTTCGAATCCAGTGAAAGGTACCACACGCAAAGTGCATTGGAGGTATACAATACTATACAGACAGAATGTTACAAATGTCCATTGTCACCACCCATAAGAAGACTCGTCGGATTTAGTATCCGTAGTGGGCGTTCCAGGCAGAAGTGTCGTAGTACTTGTTATCGTCCTTGTTGTCGCCTTTCTTGTTGTCGTCTTTGTTGTCGTCCTTCTTATCATCCTTCTTGTCATCCTTGTCGTCTTTGCCATCCTTACCATCATCACAGTCTTCCTTCCAGGTGTCGATGTCGATGATCTCGACAAATAGCTCGCAGATGAACTTGTCATCCTTCTCATCGTGCGAGTAAGCTAAAAAAAAAAAAGGCGTTAGATGATTCGGGAGCAGGGATAAACATCAGATGTACCCTGGCAAGAGTTACATTTGTCGTCCTTCTCGCACAAACTCTTGCACTCTGAGGAGAAAACGTCAATGACATCGACAAAAGTGAAGACATGCGCTTACCGATCTCGAAGGTGACCTTGTTGACTTCCTTGTGCTCGTAGGGGGTGTACTTGCCCTTGTTCCATCCCTTGAAGTCATTCTTGTGCTCGAACACCGGCGTCCAAGTACAATCTCCACGGCCGCCATCCTTGCCCTTATTGCCGTAGTTGTAGTCCTTGCTGCCACCGTCTTTGCCCTTGTGGTCGACATTGCCGTACGAGTCGTCCCTAGCTTGAACGGAAGCGGAGAGGGCGGGGACCGCGAGGGCCGCGAGAGGGAGGAGAGTAGCGACTGAGAAACGCATCGTGATGAATGGGCTGATAGTAGGGAAGTAGATAGACGAGGATGATGTGTCTGTCTGAAGAATCCTGGTGATTTGGGAGCCCTTTTATATGTATTCGAAGGCAGAAAGTCCCCCTCTTTACTGTGTAAGGTGAACTTGGAGAACGTCATGTCGAAACAGCGCTCTTGTAGGCGGTGTTTGGTGGCCGTGGGTGAATCAAAGACCTGCCAAGCCATACAAGATTTTGCTTGGAGTGGTAGACACCAAACCTCAGTAGCCAGGGCTCAGCGTCAGTCTCGGAAGATAGGTGGGAGTTGATGCTCATAGAGCAAAATATCTAAGACAATAGCATGTGTTCGTCACCAGCCGTGACTCTGTGGGCCTTCCCTTCGACAGCACGGCAATACCAGGAATCCACAATACCGTGACACCGCCAGTCGCTCGATATTCTATAGCGCTTATGGGGCAGAGTTAGAGTCCTCCAACGACAGCTTAAAGGACCAGAACCGTTCAATGAGCCCGGCTTTCAATGCATTGCCTTGAATTGCCAGATATATCTGAGGTAACTCGCCACAAGCCCTAGAAATCCATCGTTAGAGCAAGCCTTGAGTAATCGATGCGACTTGAGAAACAAAAACCCAACGAGAGGTGATCCACCCGCTGAAGGAGGTTTGGACTTGCCAAGTCGCAAAAGAACCCGCTTTCGAGTGGCGGTAGGAACATCGGTCTCAGAGAAGTTGGAGAGCGGCCGAGAAGGTTGATACTCATAGGGAAAGACATTTCAGCTCAGCCAAGGACGTTGAGTGGAGAATGGAAGTAGTGAGGTAGGCGAATACGCTGAGCCCGTGGTTCAACAAGAAACATCGACCTTTCTCGACGAAAATAAGTGATCCTCGGCTTGCCCCGAAGTCACGGCGGACAGCAGAATAGCGAAACATGCCAAGTAAAATCCTGAGTCGCTCGGTAAACTATGACGCCTGCACTACAGAGTCAAGAGTCGTCTAATTCGAAGAAAGGTGCCTTTGCGAGGTCCTGAACCGTCGCGTTAAGGACGTATTAGCCTCGTGTGAGGTTATGAGCATACCCAATGTCGCTCGCCATATAGAAGGAGTGGATTTGTTGTCCGGATCGTCGAATAGAGAGCCTCCTTTACTAAAGCGAAGAGATCAAAGACGCCGCGGCGTTTGCCGATAGTATCAAAGTCCTCATTCCTAGCCGTAACATCCACTATGGCTAACCTCAAAACAATTACCGACTGTCACAATCTCGTTTCACAGATTGTTCTTGGCATGCCCGAAAATCTCTGTCCCACAGATGGCAGGTTTCTCTGAAGTTTTTCCCGCTTCGTCTGAAACGGTGAAACCGACGTTCCCGCCTGCTCGAAGCAGGCCCCTTTGAGGCTTGGCAGGTCTTAGAGTAGATTAGGCTTCCCCATCTTGTGCTCAATGCTGTTTCTACATGACGTTCTCCAAGTTCACCTTACACAGTAAAGAGGGGGACTTTCTGCCTTCGAATACATATAAAAGGGCTCCCAAATCACCAGGATTCTTCAGACAGACACATCATCCTCGTCTATCTACTTCCCTACTATCAGCCCATTCATCACGATGCGTTTCTCAGTCGCTACTCTCCTCCCTCTCGCGGCCCTCGCGGTCCCCGCCCTCTCCGCTTCCGTCCAAGCTAGGGACGACTCGTACGGCAATGTCGACCACAAGGGCAAAGACGGTGGCAGCAAGGACTACAACTACGGCAATAAGGGCAAGGATGGCGGCCGTGGAGATTGTACTTGGACGCCGGTGTTCGAGCACAAGAATGACTTCAAGGGATGGAACAAGGGCAAGTACACCCCCTACGAGCACAAGGAAGTCAGCAAGGTCACCTTCGAGATCGGTAAGCGCATGTCTTCACTTTTGTCGATGTCATTGACGTTTTCTCCTCAGAGTGCAAGAGTTTGTGCGAGAAGGACGACAAATGTAACTCTTGCCAGGGTACATCTGATGTTTATCCCTGCTCCCGAATCATCTAACGCCTTTTTTTTTTTAGCTTACTCGCACGATGAGAAGGATGACAGGTTCATCTGCGAGCTATTTGTCGAGATCATCGACATCGACACCTGGAAGGAAGACTGTGATGATGGTAAGGATGGCAAAGACGACAAGGATGACAAGAAGGATGATAAGAAGGACGACAACAAAGACGACAACAAGAAAGGCGACAACAAGGACGACAACAAGTACTACGACACTTCTGCCTGGAACGCCCACTACGGATACTAAATCCGACGAGTCTTCTTATGGGTGGTGACAATGGACATTTGTAACATTCTGTCTGTATAGTATTGTATACCTCCAATGCAATTTGCATGTGGTACCGTTCAGTGTGGATATATTTAGCGTGACGTATCAGTGTTCCTTGTCCCTGTCAGATCTGGATTTCTTCCAAGTTTGCAGGTTTTTCAAAAGGATCCTACCTACCTCGAATGAATGAGTGAGCAACAAGTATTGAACAAACCCCATTGAAGGACTCTAGCACTTCAAATGCGAGAAGTACCAACGCAGAAAAGTAATATCATCTATTTCACCATATCTGAAAGCAAGCCTTCTAACAATACACATCATGTCTATGAATACAATCTCTATAATATCTACTCCTGCTGTTCTACTAAGCACTCTAACCCTTCGCGACTCAACAAGCCTTTCCAAGAATCCTCTAATCCGCCTGTATCATGCAGCTCCATGTACGTCTCTATAATGTCTCTACGGCTCCTCCAACAAAGTAACCCCAGTGCTACAGCAAACGCATTCACTCTCCCTACAACCAGGACCTTTCCTGACACCGTCACGAAGAGATCCGAGCGCGACAAAGTTGGTACGCCTCGATCGTTTCCCCCTTCGTCCTCGACGCGAATCACAACCCCGTCCCAGTTCTCTACGTCCCCCAAAGAGACATACACGTCCGTTCCCTCTCCCAATGCTTGTATACGTGCATGTTGACATTGAGACTCTCCCACAGCTCTGGGGGAGCGTGCGGCGCGTATTTTTGCACTCTCTTTACTGTTACTCTCGCTCTCCTCCATGGAAGTCATCCTCTTCGTTACCCTTCGTCGCGGTAGGTTGTACACACGTGGCTCGAGGTGGCCCTTGGGCTCGACGGTGACACTAAAGTCGAGCTTTTGTTGGTGGCATGACTCGGGGCTGACGAGTGTCGCTGAAGATGCGGGTGAGGGGATCATCGTGGCAACTGTGTATAATTATATAGTAATCGTCTACTGCGGGGTGTCGTCGAAACTAGCACGTTGAAGCCTATGCTGTGCGTGTGGAATTGTTGGTAGCAAAGTGTGATGATAAACGACGCAAGGGTGTTGAGTCGATGATACTAACAAGATAAAAGTTAGCCCACAGACGAAAGATAGAAAAATGTGCGTACTGGTCTAGTCAAATGTTCATCCGGAGGCAGCAAATTCGTCAATGTTTCATTGAGGAGCCATCAACAGCTAGATTATTCAATGGTACTGGGGGTGTTTTGTCTAGAAAGTATTCCCAATTAACCATTGCAAGAGCGCGAAGAAGATGGACAATATGCACAGTGAACAGATTCCTCCTGCAACGCCGCTGACGTTATGTCCAGTGTCAACCCCTAATGCTAATCGTACTTCCGTCGTGTTCTTGTCGCCGGGAAGCCAAGGTCGTCTGTCGCAAGTAGTGAGAAGAGTCGTTAAGTAACGGAGCGGAAATACAAAAGGAAATGATAACCGCCCATGATATAGCCATGGATAATCCATATCCGTTTCTGCTGCCGACTCGGCAAAACCCGGGCCTTGAAATTTCGATCATTGAAGTACTAGACAAGATATTGGAACTTTCAAATCAAAAACCTAAAGCTCTCCAAAAGTATTCTCAGCATCTGAAATTTACTTCAAGTTTGAAGTTTTGAGCTTCAATCAAGTTCATTGTTCATTAATTCATTTTCATTGTTCAATGAAGCAAAATTTCAAAATATTCAAGGGTCATTGAGAAGTTCGGATACGGGGAATCGAACCCCGAGCTGCCGCGAACCTTTGAAAGGCGGCAATGTTAGCCGTTACACCATATCCGAAACAAATGCCAATCTTGTAAACGCGCTTGTGATCTGCGACGGAGAATAATACAAGTCGTGATGTTCGCCACTTCAAAGTATTCCGGGGATACCCAGCGTATTGAACGAATATTTCCACCAATCGTTTGCAGACTTCCTCCTCTCTGAATGGTGAGCATTTTTCTAGTATCCATTTATCTTGACTCAGCTAATCAGTGGGGCTTGTGCTGCTACAGACTTCGACGAAAAAAGGCTCCGAGTCCTGCCCCAGATGTGGCTTTGACAGTAATACGACGCTGTGGCTCACCGACAACATATCTCCATTCCATGACTTGATCTCTGTCAATGGTGTCGCATCCGCCAAGGATACCAGTCTCATCAATGATTACCTTCAAAAGGTGCATGGAGAAATTCAGCGCCTCGAAACCATACTGCAGGAGGGGCAAGAGGAGAAAATTCGTCTTCAAAGCATTGCAGATAGCCACGCGGCGCTGATATCGTCCTTTCGCAAATTACCCCCAGAGGTTCTCGCAACAATTTTCCAGCACACGATCGCCATCCCACCGCCGCGTTATCAAAGTCCCTGGCTCCCTGGCGACATGACACACATATATGCTGCGCTTTGCACACTTGGTAGCGTTTGCCGCCATTGGAGGGAGACGGTGTTGTCGACACCCTCATTGTGGGCTCAATTCAACGTTGGGTTACGGTGGACACGAGAGGGTGAAAGCCGACTGCCACTGTTGAAAACCATGTTGGACAGATCCCGCGATGCCGATTTGAGCATCGGCCGGTACGGTTTGATAGACATCGATTTCTCCACACAAAGCGTACGTGCTTTGCTCGAATGTTTGGTTCCCACAAGTCACAGGTGGAAGAATGCGTCGATCGACTTTGACGACGACAGTCAGGATATGTATGAGCAGATTCAGGGTCGTCTTCCGTTGTTGGAGCGGCTGGAGCTTCGTTCCATATATTCGCATACGGTTTTTTGGAAGGATTTCCATACCTTCGAGGATGCACCTCGTTTGCGGGAGTTGGCTCTGGGAAAAGGCATATTTCCTGTGCATGAATTTCCTCTTCCTTGGTCCCAGATAACCCGTCTCTATATAAACCATCATACCAAGCCGGACGATCTCTATGCTGTCTTCTTCATCACTCCCAACCTACAGTTCCTGCGTATGTCCGGGCAAAATGAGGAAGGTAGCAGTAGTGCTTGGGACCCAGACGAGTCCAACGTCTCTATTGTGTGTTCAACTCTACGGCATCTTGATGTCGCGGACTCGGCCCTGTTCCGAGCCGCCACTATGCCCTCTTTGGAAGAAATCTCCATTGACCTTCTCCCTGCTGAGGCGGAAGATGATGACAAATATGGGGCAGATCTCTTCTACGATTTCCTACATCGTTCGCAATGTCAGATGCGGAAACTGACAATTCAACTCGGCGAGGACTTCGATGCTTTTGAAAGGATTTTTGACCAGGCATCCAAGCTCACATGCTTGGACATTACACTGCAAACGATGGACTCAGCATCGATCTTGTTTGATCTGCTTGGCTCGATTCCGAAGAGCCTTCCTCAGCTTCAGTCTTTGAAGGTGGTATGCATAGCTTGGGAGGCCTACAATAAATACGAGGACGCAGATATAGGAGAGGGTATTGCTAATTTGTTCATATCCCGATACTTTACATTCGCAGCTGACATACTGTCGGTTCATGTCGAAGTGGTACTAGGCGGCAAGATGGTAGCCAACCCGCTGCGGCCCTATGAGCGCACACCAGACGGTCCGTTCTTATCAGAGCCGTTCTGGAAATCTTTCGAAAACCATCTGAGAGTTGCACCAGAGTTGCGCAGCCGTATGGTAACTGAAAAGAAAGAACATCGTAAGTCTCTTGGCTTGTGCGATTTTACTCCAGCGATCCTTCTGATCCCATACGTCTTTAGGTGCCATAATATGTGTGAACCCAGTCACTACCTGATATATGATGCTACAGACTTATCCTACATTACTCTCGAGTACTTACCCTCTGTATCTGCAAAGAAATCGGATTTGTGGGTATACGTAAGGTGATATTCAGTGAGGCGACGATAAAGTCCCACTCTCGTGCCGAGGAAGAACACACCAGCAATGCTTATTCGGTTTTCGGGGGATCCTAAAGGTCTCAGGGCTGGGATTGCGCTATCTGACAGATAAAAATCAGACACTATAAGCTCAAACCAGTCACACCTTGCGGTGTGGTTCCATTGCCGACGTCTGAAGCAGAAAGTTGGGTTATCGCCACCGGATACATCCCCACGAAGAAACGATGTACATATAAATAACTGGTCGACTCGGACAAGGAGTACTACCCGTTTCATCATACCTAGTGCTCTGCGCTCTGCTGGTCGCCTTGGGACAACTGTGTACTAGATAGTGTCGCTTGTGGTGGTGGTGCGTACTCCACTCATCTATATCATCTAAGATCAGAACATTTATGCTTACCGAAGGTCTCCGCGCTTGACAATTTTCACCTCTTTGAGTGGGTGTCAGTGAGATGAATGTATTCACCAGCACAATAGTCATAACTCCTACAAATCGACCAATTCTGCCTTCTTTACGAAACCCTGTCCATCTGCGATAATCCAGTGCACAAGGATCCCAGCCCCTTCTCGCGCCTTGGCGATGATCTCCAGATCTTCGATACACCGACTCGACCACTCGACGCCTGCTCCAGGCTTAACATTGAGAGCACGGTAACGTAGTGTCAAGACCAAGGGCCACAATGGATCAGGATCTCCATTCGCAACAATATACTCGTCCAACTACTTGATCCATTCTGAGGATTCTTGCTTGTAATACTCCGCATATCGACTGTTAATGCTCTCGACCGCTCTCCGATCACTGAAAGACATGGGCAAGGGACTGCCATCTAGAAATCCGCTGAAGAAACCCCCATGGGTTCGAAGGTGAACAGACGCACCGTTTCTGAGTTGTCTGATCTCGGTGCAGAGGGAACGGTGGTCACCAGATGACCAGTCTTCCTTTTGGCATATCCGCGAGCAATACAGTGTGGACTAACAGGCGGAACAAACCATGAAATTTCCAGCTGACGTTCCAGGGCACTATATCAGAAGTTAAATGACTGAGATCATCGGCATATGGTCAACGCACCTGCTTGTGACCACAAAATGGATCAGTTATAGACCCAGGGATATCAGACGGGTAGAAACCAATTGTTACAAACATGTTCCACGTTTCACAAAATTGCTTTAGGCCTGGATCAGGGAGACCAAGGAATAAATCGACGCGGTCTCGCTGGATTTTGGAGATGGCCTTTTGGGACCGCTTTAGAATCGAGGCGTAGGCGAAATGAGATGCGATCAACTGTAGAATATTCATGGCATGATCCTCTACGTGGTTCATGGCTTCCTTGGTCTCCTCGTTGACGAGCTCAGGATGAGTATGCAGGTTGCGGAACACCTTGAGCAGATAGAGGAGTACGTCATATCCTAGGAGTTGATAAATGTACGACTGGCCATCCTCCATGACTTTCCAGAAGTAGAATAAACACTTGGAAACGCAATCTGCGGCTAGCTGTAATGTCACATCGGTGAATCGTGCGTGCCGAGTGACGGATCGCAGAACACGAGATATCCATCGGGCACTGTTGTTTTTCAGTAAAGCGGTGTGGACGGGTGGCGAATGGAGGGAGAACCGGAGAACCGGAGTTGCGACGGTCAAGAAAGATTGATATATAAGACCTGAGTCAGACTCCTCCGGGATATGAGTGAACTCGTCCACAATGAATTGGACGATAAGATTAGCGGTGACTGTGCTATTTTCCTCCAGCCGGCGTATGAAGATGTCCTTCCATTCTGGTAAAGGATCACAATGTATACAGCAGCGAATATTGACCAGGAATCCTCGAGATTGTATTTCGGACAGCCAAGTGGAGGGTGAAACCAAAGAAAGGGAAGATAGTCTCTGAGGAGTCTCGGTTCAATTATTCCAAGGGTGTTCGGTTTTGTGGTCCAGGCCAGGATATGTAGCACGGCGTGGTGGAAGTCGACACACTTGAATTCAGGTGCTCGGGATGGTAAGATAATGTACTCGAAGAAGAGGCACAGCCAGAATGATACAGCAGGCATAAGGGCATATAAGGAAGGAGTGTTGTCTTGAAATGACATGGACTGGTTGTGAAGACCTGTGACTAGTGCGAGGAGTGAGGTGCAGCTGCGATTGATTACATTTTTGGGGTCGAGCGAAGGGATCAGGGGAAGCCTCCCTCGTTTCATGGCCTGGACAGAGGCTGTGTCGAACTTGAGATTTTCTTCCATTACACGAAAGAAAGCTCGACGGGCCCTTTGATCATCCGCGAGCTTGCAGGGATAGGACCATCAGGGCTTCAATCGATCCGTCCTTGGCTGATCTCTAATTAGCAAACGCCAAACGTATCGGTATGAAAGGTCCCATCGAGACCCAAAACTGTACTCACGATGAGGTTCTCCATTTGAGTTAGGAGGAATTTAAGCTGAGACCTTGTCGTACTGCAAGCCAAAAATCGACTAATGCGATGTGCCTGGTGACTGAAATGGGGATTAGATGCTGAGTAGTTCAAAAGCAGTACAGCTAACTTGAAAAATGAATATCGTCCGGGTAGAAGCGTCGATGATCGTCCAACAGAGAACAGGTGACAGCGATATGTGAAATGATTGGCGTAAGAATCATTTCCGCTGCTTAGTAGCTGAGCCGGAGGAAACTGTATTGCGGACGAGGAATTTGGAACTTTTAGAGAGTAACGATTCTGTTTGATGTTTATTCTTTCATTGTGACTTAGTAAACTCCCTCCAGTGTTAAGAATATGGGTATTCAAAAAAGCTAATATACGAGTTGGTGAATACTCGAAGAAAAGCCTGATGAGAGCGAGGATGTCCGTAAGCTGAGTCCGATTACCAAGAGGGATCCATAAGTTTGTTAACGAGCGCTAAGCGTAGTTAACGGGGCGTCAGCAAGCGCTAAGTGTAACTGACTGGGTTTCCGACG